TTATACTTTCTCTTTTGTGTTTTCCTATCCTTTATTTATGTATTAGGGTCATAAAATTTTATTGGTAACAGTTCATGCGGGATTTTTCAGGTGACAAAAACTCCAGCCTGTGATATTTGCTACAAATCTTTACTCTAGTCATGTTTGCCTTTCATTTTTGTCTTGATATTCTATTTTTATTTTGACATAGCTGACTCTATCCACTAATTTTCTTTGATTTCTACTGTCATTTCTAAGCTAAGAAAATTCTTTCCCCTGAAATATTTCACAACTAATCAATTCCACTTCTCTACGGATTGGTTTGGGTTGTTCGTTTACTCTTTCCTACTTGGCCGTTTGGTCCGTCAGAACCTGGTTTCAGGTCTGGCTGTGGAGAGGGGAGGCTCCGAGGTCAGCTGACCAGTCACCCACTCTCCTCTCTTAGCCCCCTGCTCACTTCTCCCCTGAAGCTAAGGAAATCCCTGATTTCTCCTCACAGGCAGGAGCACTGTGTGAAGTGCTGGGAACAACCTTCCTCCATCACAAGGGGGTGAGGTCCCCTCTTAACCCAGTAACTCACTTTGCCTGAGTATCCTCTTTTCCTATTTTTTAATTACAGCTTGATTGAGATATGTTCACATACCACACAATTCACCCACTGAAAGCATACAGCCCAATTCTTTTTATCATATTCACACAACCGTCACTACAATCAGTTTTAGAACAATTTCGTGACCCCCCAAAAGACACCCTGTGCTCATTAGCTGCCATTTCCCATTTCCTTTCAAACTCCTCCCCGTCCCTTAGGCATCCACATTCTGTCTCTACATTTGCCTATTCCCGACATTTCCTATAGATGGATTCATATAATATGTGGTCTTTTGTGTTAGGCTTCTTTCATTTGGCTTAATGTTTTCAAGGTTCATTCATGTTGAAGCATGTATCAGTACTTCATTCCTTTTTATTGCCAAATAATATTCCACTGTATGGATGTAGCACATTTTATTTCTCCATTCATTGGTGGAGGCACATTTGGGTTGTTTCCACTCTTTGGCTATTATGAATAATGCTGCTGTGAACATTCATGTACAAGTTTTTATTTCTTGTTTTCATTTCTCTTGGATGTATACTAGAAGTGGAATTGCTAGTCACATGGTAATTCTATGTTTGACTTTTTCAAACATAGAAACATTTTCCAAAGCAGTGCACCATTTTACATTCCCACCAGGATGGTGTGAGGGTTCCAATTGCTCCACATCCTGGTCAACACTTGTTATCATCTGTCCTTTTTATTATAGCCACTCTAGTGGATGTGAAGTGGTTTGGATTTGCATTTCCCTAGTGATTAGCGATGTGAAGCATCTTTTTATGTGCTTCTTGGCCATTTGTAAATCTTCTTTCGTGAAATGTCTACTCCAAGTCTTTGCCCATTTTTTAATTGGATTGTCTTTTTAATTGTTGAGCTGTAAGAGTTCTTTATGTATTTTTTAAAAAAGATTTTTACTGGGGAATTGGGGGGATGGAAGCCGTGCTGGGGAATTGGGAGAAGGGGAACAGACAAGTTGCTGTCGTTTTGTTCTTCAGTCTAGTTGTGGAGGACGTTACTTCACTGGCCCAAGTTGGCACCATCATTGCGCTCTTCCCAGGCGAGGCACATCAGTCGCCGGCTTCTGGACGGCCGCTCACTGCGGCTGCTGGCCGCTCACGCTGGCTGCTGGCTATACACAGTGGCCCATGGCAACCCACCTGCCGTCGCTGGCGACTCACGGCAGCCCAGCTCCAGGTCAAGCTGTTGTTCAGCATCTTAGCTGTGGAGGGCAGCGTCACTGGCCCTCATATGTGGTATCCGAACCGGGGCCCTCTGGCGTCCCAAGCCAGTTCTTAACCATCACGCCACTCGGCCGGCCCTCTTTATGTATTTTTAATACTACTCCCTTCTCAAACACATGACTTACAAACATTCTCTCCCATTCTGTAGGTTGTCCTTTTTTTTTTTTTAGGACCATTTTTTTAGAACAGTTTTAGGTTCATAGCAAAACTGAGAGGAAGGTACAGAGCCTCCCCTATTATCAACATCCCCATCAATTTGTTACAGTTAATAAACCTACACTGACACATCATAATCACCCAAAGTCCACAGTTTACGTTAAGGTTGTATATTCAATAGGTTTGGACAAATGTATAATGACATGTGTCTATCATTATTGTATCATACAGAGTATTTTCACTGCCCTAAAAATCCTCTGTGCCCCACCTTTCCGCTTTCTTGACAATGTCCTTTGAAGCACAAACGTTTTTAATTTTGATGAAGTCCAATTTATCTATTTTTTCTTTTGTCACTTGTGCTTTTGGTGTCATATCCAAGGTCTGCCTAACCCAAGGTCGCAATGACTTGTATGTCATTCTAAGAGCTTTGAAGTTTTAGCTCTTTAGGTCCATGGTCCATGGAGCTAATTTTTGTCTATGGTATGAGGAAGGAGTCAACTTGTTTCTTTTACATGTGGATATCCAGGCATCCCCGCCCCATATGCTTCCTCCCTGCCATTCGAATTGCCTTGGCACACTTTTCAAAAATCAATTGACCATAAACATAAGGGCCCTTTTCCTATGTAGTGGTTTGTTATGCACTTATTCTTTTGAAACAAAGGCAGAAAAACTCTCAGACCAATGTGAAAAACAATCTTTGAAAAGCTCTCAAGAAGACATTCTAGGAAAATGGTGCTAAAGAGGATGCCCACCTTCTCTCTAGAGGCTGAAGGCAACTTCCCCTGTCCAATATGCTACAAACATGGAGGAACATATGTTTTAGAAGGATTAGACTTGGGTCAGTGACCTAGAGCATCTACTCCCCATCTGTAAACTGTCCCTGTAAGTCCTGGAGAAAGTTACGTCTTGTGGTCACTTCACGAGGTTTTGGGGGATCACTCTAATTTGCTTTTGGGGGGGGGGTGAGGGGAGGTGGTATTCGTATTCTGAATGGCTGTCCCTTAACCTCCCTGAGTCTCAAAGGTCTCTTCTTTGAGATGAGGAGCAAATGAGATGATGTGTTTGAATGTGCTCTGTAAGCTACAAAGTGCTGCCGACGGAACCGGTGGTGACAATGGTGATGCTATGGAAAGACAGCCTCTCAGAGCTGAGACTTCGAAGGCCATCTTGACCCCACCCCAAGTGGATCACTTCTCCACTATTCCTACAAAGTGGCCACCCAGCCTAAACTCCTCTAGTGACAGAGCTCAGAATGTCCTGAGCTGGCTCTTCTATATTTAGTCTTTCCACTTGTTAGAAAATGTTCTTTCCTCTTGAGCTGAAAAATCATAATACCAGCTACGCCAGGCACTGTAAGAGGTACTTCTGTACATTATCTTATCTGAGCTTTCAAATAACCCTATGAGGTCAGTCTACTACTCTGTACCCCCATTTAATAGGTGAGAAAATAGCCTCAGAGAGGTTAAGTGACTTGCTCAGGCGCCCACAGCCAGTAAAGACGCAGGCAAGATTTGAACCCAGACCCATCTGACTCCAAAGCCCATGCACATGATCTCCGGACTGTTTCGTAGCCTTCGCCATCAATTCCCAAGCAAGGGCCTTAGTTTGGTTCCTGGGGGGCTACATGGAGCAGAGCTCACCCTTCTTGTCCACACTGGTCCTTGACCACCAACCTCTGCCAGATGTTCACCTCACCAATGTTGCAGTGCAAAAGACGTCCCCCGACTACCACCCCGAGAAGGTGAGCAAGCTGGGCTTCCGCCCTCCAGGTACAGACAGCCTCTGGGACTGGCTGGGGTGGGGAAGTGGAGTGCCGAGGAGCCCAGGACAGGCATCAGCGAGGTCAGGCCCACCCTTCCCGTTTGCAGGGCCCAGGGCAAGAGTACAAATGGAGGTCCGTGCCGCATGTAGAGTCTAGATATTTAAAAGTCACGAATCAAACGAACATGCCTTTTAACAAAATGTGTTCTATCCTCCTGCCTTGACAGATATGACTCTATCTATCTATCTATCTATCTATCTATCTATCTATCTATCTATCATCTATCTAGTAACCTGCAAGGCTATGTTCAAATTTAGGACTCTGACTCTCCTTGAGCCTTGGGGTGCACTCATGGTCAGCATAGTCTGTTCCCAGGGTAGAGGCCTGAACAGGGCACTTGGGCAGGGACTTTTGGGGTCGTGGGTACCCAGCCTGTGTGCTCTAGCAAAAGGCACAGGCCCTGGGTGGACACATTCCCTTGGGCATACAGGATCTTCAGCCCACAGGGAGGGGCGCACTCAGGGCTCTCCTAACAACAGAACTCAGGGCTGGACCGCTCTTGTCCAAACCCGAGGCCCGTGCTGATGGTGATGGTGGGAGGGTCCATCAGGCCAGGTCCCAGCTCACTGAGGCCCCCTCTCCCAACCTGGGTGCACGGGCCCCAGGGCTGCAAGTGGATGCTGCAGCGCTTCCGACAGTACCTGGCGTCCAAGCACGGGCCCCAGGCGGTGGAGACCCTCTTCAGCGACATGGACAACATCTTCATCAGGAGCCTGCAGAGCGTTCAGAAGGTGATCATCAGTGACAAGCACTGCTTCGAGCTGTACGGCTATGACATCCTCGTAGACCAGGACCTCAAGCCGTAAGTGGGTGGGCAGGTGGCCCGGAGAGCCGGGGGACGTTGTGCACACTCTGCACCCAGACTGCCCAGAGTTGAGCTCAGCCCACCACTTCCTCTTTCTGTGCCTTAATTTGCCTGTCTGTAAAATGGTCATTGTTATGAGGAATGAATGAGGTATTGTCTATAGAGCACTGAACTCCTGGCACTAAGAGGCCTTTCCTGAATATACTGAGTCAGGGATCCTACCCTGGAACCAGGCAAGAACGTCCCCTCTGCAAGCCCTGGTGCTCTGGGGAGGCAAAGTGCCGTGTAAGGGAGTATCATGGTGATCCCTGCCAAGAATTCGGTGCACTCCTACAGTGCCCATGAGGAGGCTGAGCTGACAAGCAGAATAAGCCTGAGAAGGCAAGGATCACAGCAATGGCCCTCACATGATACAACAGCACATGGAAGCCCAGTGGGGTTGTTCTGGGAGCTTGAGGTCAAGCAGGGCCAGGCCTGGGGTCATAGCTCCTGGGCTGAGCTGCTCCCCGACAGCACTGCAGCTCCTGGACCCAGCCCCTCCCCAGGGTCATGTATGGTGTTAAGGGGCTTTCTGAGCCAGGAGTAGGCGTCGTAGAGCGAGACCTAATTGGGGCCTGGGTTTGAGGAAACAGCGTTCTGACGGCAGCGGGTCGGTCTCCTTTGTCTCCTGGGGCGACATGTGGCCGCGGGCATTAGAGTGGACACTGATGGGGAAAACAAGCCTGGGAGGAGGCAGCAGAGAGCGGAAAGTGGGGCCCAAGTGTCCCACTGGCCTGCTGGGTAAGCGCTTTCCTCTCTGTGCCCCAGGTTCTTGTCCGTAAATGACCGGGTTGCACAAAACAGGAGGTTGCAAGCTGGAGGCCCTCGGGCTGCTTTTGACACTTTGAGTTTGGCCTTCAGAATGTTTTTTTGGTTGGTTTTCATTTAAATTCATTGACAATCTCTAAAAATTGGGAGATGTTTACACAGAAATCTGGATTTGGGACTTTTGTGGAAAATCCAGATGATCTCGTAATTCTGGGCTCACATTCCCACAGGGTAACACTCGCGTGGAGCTGGCCACAGCCACCCCTTTAGACAGTGGAATGCTTTTTCCAGTTCGCTCCAGTCTCCCCCCCTCCCCTCCTACTCCCCAACCCCTGACAGGGCAGTGGATGCCAGCTTTAGGCCAACTGTCACAAGGAAAGGGAAGGTGTTCTTGTACTCATAGCTCTACTGGAAGAAGGAAAAGCAATAAAAGACACAAAGGCATCAAAATCATTCTAACCCCCACCAGCTTGCCTCATTTATTGCCTGGTCCCTGTGGGAGTTTCAAGTCTGTGACAATTGTTCTCAGAAATTTTAGCCACTGAAGCCTTTCTTCTAATGGAAAAGCGGAGAGAGCGACTCTGGTTGAATTGCGGGTGGGGCCCCGGCACCCCATCTAGCCTCTCAGTGGAATTCCAGGGTCTCCAAGGACCAGGTAACCCTAAGGCTCTCCATTCCCCTCCTTTCCCAGATGGCTGCTGGAGGTCAATGCGTCCCCATCGCTGACAGCCAGTAGCGAGGAAGACTATGAGCTCAAGACCTGCCTCCTGGAAGACACCCTGCACATCGTGGACATGGAGGCCAGGTGAGGGAGGGCAGCCTTGTTCATACACCCCCATACATGACAATCAGGGCTTTCACCATGGAAGATGGAGAACTCAGAAGCTTGAAACTTGAGCGGCCCTCAGAGACAGCTCTGGTCTGCCCTGCCATTTTATAGATGGAAAAACTGAGATGTCCACGCAAGGTTGGAGCCTGGTCCAAGGACTCAGCCCTTTCAGGGCAGAGCAAGTTTCTGACATTTGGTCCAGCAGAATTTCCTTGAAACTTCCTGACTGTGGGACTCTGGACCAGTCATGTCACCTTTCTGAGCCTCAGTTTTCTCATCTGTAAAATGGGAAATGTCATGTCTCCCTCTCAGGATTGTTAATTTACCAAGATAATTTATTGTCAAATGCCTAGCTACAGTAAGTGCTCAATAAGAGACAATATATTATTATAACAATGTGTATACAACGGAGAAATCCAGGGCCTAACTTCAGGAATGCCTGAATCTAGGTGCTCAGTCAGTGTTGGTTGGTCTACTCTCTCTCCCTATCTTTCTCCTCTCTCCCTCTCTCATCTCTTTCCTCTATATTAGCTTTCCCCCAGTTATTCCAGCAAGAGTTTGGGGGCTGACTCTCATTGCTCATTGGTGGGGATTGGGTCACATACCCATCTCTAAACCAATCATTATGACTCTGATTGGCCAGGCTTAGTTCTTGTGCCCACCTCTCAGGGGGATATGATGAGAGAGGAAGCAGGGGCTCTCAAAGGTAAGACTGAGGTGTACGCTTAGGCTGAAAGAAGGTGAAATGCATGCCCAGTAGGCAGAACCTCAAGTGTCCACTATATCTACCATCACTCATTCATTCAATAAACATTTGAGTCCCTACTGTGTGCCAGGCCTTGTACCACACACTGGGGACACAGTAAAGTACAGGACAGGTGCAGGCCCCCCTCTTCACGGAGTTTATAGCCTGGGGAGGACAGCAGACTTTAAACCAGAATTCACAAGAAGGTGTACATTACTAAGGGTGAGCGTGAGAGCCTCGGGACAAAAACAGGGACGACTCCTCTGAGACCTATGTGGGCACCTGGGAAGCAGCCAGTGAGTGGATGAACAAAAGAAGGAATTTTAAGTGTGGGAACCAGTAGGGTGCGGGGATGAATCAGCAACCTGCTTGGGTCGCGGGGCCTACCAGGTGCACCTTCCTTAATCCTTTGTGTCTCCTGTCTGTCCAGGCTCACTGGGAGGGAGAAGAGAGTGGGAGGCTTTGACCTCATGTGGAATGATGGCCCTGTCAGCAGAGAAGAGGGGCCCCCTGACCTGTCGGGGATGGGGAACTTTGTGACCAACACACACCTCGGTATGTGGGGCCAGGAGGGGACTGGGTACCAGGAATGCGTCATGGGAGGTGCCAGGTAATCTAGGAGGCAGCTTGGTACAGTGGTTAGACTGTTTTAATTTGATCTACAATTTATCAGCTGTATGACCTTGAGCAAAGGACTTAACCTCTCTGTTCTTTATCTGTAAAATGAAGATTAAATAGTTTCTACCTCAGTGTGTGCCTAGAATACTGCCTGGCGCATGGTGAGAGATATTAACCTGTCAGGAGGTGGATTTCAAAAGGCTTAGGAAAACAAACAAACAAACGAAAACCTCGCACGATATGTTAAGAGAAATTAAGGACTTCAGGACTTGACTTTAAACTTGGTGTTTAAAAACAATGAAAATTTTCCCTGATTGTAAAAATTATTCACATTTATTGTAGAATATTTGAAAACTAAAGAAGGAAATTTTTAAAAACCATCCAGACATAATCATCTTTAACAATCTGGTGTATTTCCTTCCAGTTTTTCAAAAATGCATATAGTCATACTTTTTCTTTTATAAAATTGGCATCGGACTGGAGTTCTGAGTCCCGCTTTTCCACATAACATTTTTCACATCATTCAAAAATATTGGTAAGAGCCTCTCTCTTGGCAACACTTTTTGGCTAGGTCCAAACTAAGTATTTTACATGCATTATCTCATTTCAGCTTTAGGCATTTATTATCAGTTTACAGATGAGGAAATGGTCTCCAGATGTTACACAACGTGGTTAAGGTCTCGTTTGTAAGTGGTGAGCTGGGACTTGAACTCTAATCTGTCTGAGTCCAAAACCCGAATGCCTACCTGCTGGGCCCTCCTGTTCCTCAGAACAGTTAAAGACAAAATTACCATATGACAACAAAACATTCTAGCTTGTGTAGATGCCAAATTTGCTAAACCAATTTCTTATAATGGAGCACTTGGCATGATTTCAATTTTTTACTTTTATAAACAATGCCATGATGAACATCCTTTCACATACAGCTCAACTGAAAACCTGGCTGTTTCTTTAGGACAGATTCCTAGAAGTAGAATTACTGGGTCAAAAGGATGGACTTATTACAGCCAAATTGCTTTCTACAAAGATTATATGAATTTGCCAGCTCTGAATTAAAAAAAAAACAAACAAAAAATTTCACCAACTTGTGCATTCCATTGATTACTGGTGAGGTTTCAGATTTTTAGATTCATATTTCTTCTTTTGTAAGCTGTCCATATTCTTTATCTATTTTTCAATGGGTTGTTTACATTTTTCTAAATGTATAAAGGCCTTCGATATTAATATGTTGAGGATATTCTCCCTGTCGAAGTTGTAAACATTTTCCTGAGTTTGCAATTTGCTTTTTAAATTTTGTGACATCTTTTTTTATTTTTTAATTTTATTGGAGAATTGGGGGAGGGGGACAGACAAGTTGCTGCCCCTTTTGCTCTTCAGTCTAGTTGTGGAGGACGTTGCTTCACTGGCCCATGTTGGTATTATCATTGCATGCCTCCCGGGCGAGGCAGTCACTCCCCGGCCATTGGACAGCAGCTCATGAAAGCTCACGCCCACTGCTGGCCAGCCCCACTGCAGCCCAGTTCCAGGTTTAGCTGCTGTTCACCATCTTTGCTGTAGAGGGCGCAGGGTCACTGTTCGGCATGTGGGGCCTGAACCAGGGCCCTGCTGCTCAGAGCTGGCATCTCAAGCCAACTCTTTTTTTTTTGTTTTAAGATTTTTTTATTGGGGCATTGGGGGATGGGAACAGCGCTGGGGAAAGGGGACCAGCCAAGTTGCTGTCCTTTTGTTCTTTAGTCTAGTTGTGGAGGATGTTGTTTCACTGGCCCAAGTTGGCACCATCATTGCGCTCTTCCTGGGTAAGGCAGATCGGTCGCCGGCTTCTGGACGGCCGCTCACTGTGGCTGCTGGCCGCTCACGCTGGCTTCTGGCTACACAAGGTAGCCCATGGCGACCCACTGCAGTAGGGGCTGCAGCCTACGCCGTCGCCAGCGACTCACGGCAGCCCAGCTCCAGGTTGAGCTGTTGTTGAGCATCTTAGCTGTGGAGGGCAGTGTCACTAGTCCTCATATGTGGGATCCGAACCGGGGCCCTCTGGCGTCCCAAGCCAACTCTTAACCAATGTGCCACTTGGCCGGCCCAATGGCATCTTTTTTTAATGAAAAGTTTTAAATCTTTTCAAGGGTTTAGCATGATATAGGATTGGGTGCAAACAACTAAAAAGCCAACTATTATTAACAGTTACACAGAGGGACTGATTTATCTTGAGCCACAGGACGACTTGAGGTTGGCAGTACAGGTCTGACATAATGGCTGCACGATGCCCCCAAGGACTCAGCTCTTTCCTTTTTCTGTTTTGTCATACTCAGCAGGTTGCCTTGGTGCTCATGCTTGTTGCCTCATAGTTGCAAGAGAGCTGCTCTAACTCCAAGGCACTCCATATTTCCTTGTCCTAGACAGGAAGAAATAGGAAGGCCCTGGGGCTAAAGCCTTTCCTTCAAGCTTTGACTCTTTATTCCAAAAGGGAAGCCCTCCCAGGGAGATCTGCTGACATCTTACCCACCAGAACGAGGCCACATGGCCACCCCAGCTGCAAGGAAGCCAGGATGTCAAGTAGTTTGCCTTGAGGAAGGCAAAGAGTTGAGGTTTGTAAATGGCTTTTTCACAGCACATCCCTAGTGTCTGCCACGTTGCTGTTGTTGGAGGATGACTGTGTAGTGCTTTCCAGCTGTGCAGATAATCACCTAGAAATCTTGTTAAAATGCAGATTATGATTCAGTAGATCTGGAATGGGGCCCAAGATTCTGCATATCTAACAAGCTCCTGGGTGACGCTCCGTTAGTTAGCTGTCACTGGGTAATAAACCCTCCCTAAGCCTCACAGTTTAAAACAACTATCTTATTTGCTATTCATTCTTTAGGTGTCGCCAAGGTCACTCATAGGGCTGCAGGCACCTGGCAGATTTACTGAGACTTGATGGCCTAGGATTGCCTCATTCACATGTGTGGTGGTTGATACTGTTAGCTGGGTCTCTCTTTTTAGGTGGCCACTTGTCCCCCAGCAGTGCTGCCCTAGCCTCTTCACATGGTCGTCTCAGGATTCCAAAGCGGCAAGAGAAGACGTAGCAAAGCCTCTTGAGGCCTAGGCTTAGAAGTCCCACAATGTCACTCTGCCACAATCCATTAGTTAAAACTAGTCAAGCCCAGATTCTCAGGGTGAGGAAACAGACTCCACCTCTTGGTGGGAGGGGTGGCAAAGTCACCTTGCAGAGAGGTGGGCATATAGGAATGAGAGAAATTGTTGCAGCTCTCTTTGCTAGCAAACTATCACAGATATCCATGCTGCTGGTTCCTGGACCCTGTTCAAATAGCAAAGGTTCAGAACAGTGGTTCTCCACCTTGGCCGTATATTGGAATCACGTGGGAGCTTTAACAAAGACCGATGTCTGCGGGAGATAAAGATACAGTTGGTCTGGACATTGGTCTGTTTTAAAGCTCCCAGATGACTCCAAAGCACAGCCTAGGTTGACAGCCACTGCTTCAAAAGTCTCGAGAATAATCCCCAAGTCTCCAGTGGAGTGTCTGGACAGATGGTGGTGAATATAAGAGGTACTGCTGGGGGTGGGGAAAGTATTGATGAGATGAGTTAGGGATGTGTTGAGGGATATCCTGGTGCAAAAATCAGCAGATAACTGAGACAAGCTTAGAATGCCAAGGAGAGATTTGCATTGGACGTGAAGATTTGGGAGTTACACGAGCCAAATTCAGGTAAAGCTAGGGTTCCATGGAAATCACTTTGGACAACCCTGGGGATGCAGATAGTGGGTTCTCAGCTCAGTGAAGCCTTGATGACCAGTGGGTGCCTAGGAGGCTAAGAAAGATGACTGAACCTCCTGGTCAGTAGTTGTGGCCATGCAGATTCAGTCATTCAACCAGCATGTGTGAGTGCCATCAATGTGCCTGGCACAAGATTCAATGATGAATTGAGTTGCCTCAAGGGTCAGCTCTGAGAGCAAATAGGAAATAGGTAACACTGTGAACATGCTGGCAGACGAGGTGTCTCAGAAGCTCAGGTCAGCCTTTCAGCATGGACTGCCTGGGACACACTTCCATGAGAGCAGGGGCAGCTTGTAGGGAAGATTCATCTCTTAGCCAATTGTGCCTGACACAGAGGGTTGGCTAAAGGAGGAAAGCTAACATTTAACCTATTAGGTACCAGGCACTGTGCTAGCTTTAACACATTTTCACTGAGCAGAGCCAAAAGGAAAGGCAGTATGGGGTAGTGGTTAAAAGCTTGACCTCTGGAGCTAGGTAGCCTAGGTTCAAGCCCCAGTTGTACTTACTGTGTGATTTGGAGCAAATTACTTAGCCTCTCTGAGCCTTTTTTCTCTTCTACACATCATTCCAGTGAGAGCTCAACAAGTTAATCTAAATACATTGAGCAGTACCTGAGGTAAGTCCCCAATGAATGTTACCTTCTTTTGATGATCTTTACACTCATCCCATAAAGCAGGTATCCTGGTTTACAGATGAGAAAACTGATGCTCGAAGAGGAAAATGACCTAAGTTCAGGAGTGGAGCCAGGATGCGAACCACAGGCCATCCATGGTTGCATGGCTCTTGCTGTCCCCTCTTCCCACCAGTCAGTGGAAGCACAGGCCACTCCACTCCCCCGCAAACCCCCTTTTCTAAGGACAGGCCATCACAGCCAATACTCCACTTCCCTTCCAGGTTGCATCAATGATCGGAAAAAACAGCTGAGGCAGCTGTTCCGCTCCCTTCAAGGCCAGAAGAAAACTTCCAGTTAATACCCAGCCGCTGCGGAGAAAGTGACCCTGGGAGGTGCCGTGCCAGCCAGTCCCCTCCCCACTCCATTTCCAGCACAGCAGCACCTCAGCTCACTCACCTCCCTCCCTCTGCCTGGGCCAGGCCCCCTGGTTTCCCCGGCCCCATGGGACTTAACCTTACAGGTTGGCTTGGTGATCAGGCCCAGAGGACAAGTGCAGCAAGTTCTGCTACACCAGAGATCACATCTAATAAATGAGCACAGGCCTTACTCAGTCACTGGGCACCGGGTCTGGCTCAGGGGATGCTGTCGGCCATAGCTACATCCTCCTGACTCTCCCGACTTTGACCTGTTGATATCTATCAGGTCAGTGCTGAAAGCGTCCTCCAGGAGTATAGGGTTCAGGAGCAAGGAGTTATTAGATTGTGCTTATTAGGGGTCTGGAGAAGGACTGAACCCGAAGCACATCTTCCCCTCCTTGTAATACTTTATTTAACCTTGCCTGTCAGGGGAACCCACTGACCTCCCCTGACCACCTGAAAACCAGGCCAGAGCATCCCCATTTCTCAGATGGACAAGGTAAGGATCAGGAAGGCAGAGCTGCTTGGTGAAGGTCCCTGCAAAAGTGCACTTATCTAAATCAGCTGGGTGATATAGGTGCCTCAAATAGGTTGAAAACTGAGCCTTTTAAACCAGAAAGCCTTGGGCTGGCAGGCAAGGAGATGGCTTGGGGAGTTGGGTGCAAGTAGAAATTTCTGCATTTTCCACATTCCTATGCCTCCTTTTGGTTTAATGGGTTACTCCAAGGGTGGGCTGGTGGGCTAACTGCTCCATGGAGGACCCCAGGCAGCTCCCTCTACCACTCTCCCTGCTAAGGACAGTTCTTTTGGCTGCAAACAGCAGAATCTGACTGCCCAGAAAAGTACTGGCAAGGCCAAGAAGTGAACCAGTTAGCCTTGAGGCCAGAAGCCGGGCCACTTTTGGTCTCCTGCCTGCAGAGCACAGTGACTTCCCTTCATCCCTGTGACAAAAGCAAGCTCAAACAGCCCTAGGTACAGGTTGCACCTTGCCAGCAGAATCTGATTGGCTCTTTTTTGGTCTAGCATCCACGTTGCGAGATAGGCAGGGGCAATGTTCAGACAAGAGAAACTGTGAGCCACGCAGTCATTCATACCAGACAGTATCTACCAAAATGAATGCTGCAACTCTTTTTAAAAATTATATTAAAAAATATGCAACATAACAGTGACATGTTCTTCCCTTCCACCCCAACCATGCAGTTTGTTCCGAGGGAACCATGTAGTGATTGCATACAAATCACCAGCTTATTAGACACCTGTCCTGCCTTGCTTTTCTCCCTTAATCTTGAAGCTTGTTCCAAATCAGAGCTCAAGAGCTTCCTTATTCTTTGTTTTTATTTTTTATTGGGGGAACAGCCATGGTCATTGGTGACACATTGCTTTCATGCTACAAATGGCACAGTTGACTTTTTTAGGGAGGGTGCAGCTCAGTGTCCCACGTGGGGACTGAACCGGCAACCTTGGTGTTATCAGCACCACTCATTAACCAACTGAGTTAACCAGTCACCCCCCAAGAGCTTCCTTATTCTTGATTATAGCTGTGTAGTGTTTCACTACCTGGAGCTATCAATTCCTGTAACTAGTCTACTGTGGACAGACATGAAGTTTCCAATTCCATCTCTCTACTTCTTAGGGCCATCATGAAATAGCAATTTCTACAAAAAACCCCCAAGAGGATGTAGAATTGTAAGTCTGGGCCTAATTTGACTTATGTATTTTGTTTGACCAACACCCAAGTTTAAAAAATGTTTCTAAATTATTTTAGTATTAAGCAGTATTTAAAAGAGAAGATTCACCTTAAAACCCCCAATTTCTAGCTCCTCTTGGAGAAAACACAAGACCTGTGTTCCCACATAACTATCAGCAGGAGCCGAGGGAGCCAGGGGCACGGTGGTGTTCCCTCTCAGTTTTGCCATCTGTAACTGCCTGTCTAAGCCTGCTATCATTTCAAGGAACCACTGCTTGTTCATAGGTGGATCCTACAGGGAGTGGTATGCCCTCAGTTAAAGACTGAATGAGGTAAAGACTAGAAGCTGATATTCATTCACTAGGTAACATTTATTGAGCCTTCAATGAACAGGAAACACACCATGTTGCCCTCACAGCACATTCGCATTAGGATCTGAGACCACTGAAGGCAGACGGGAACCCCGAGAGCAGTGCGGGCGCAGGTCTTGCTTTCAGAGGTGGTGGAGGGGCATCCTGAATATGCCTAAAATGCTGAGAGTCCCCCTCCCCCATCTCTGACGCAGGACTCTGTAAGGCTGTTCTGACTAAAGAGCAGCTGTGGGGGGTTGATAGGCAGCACCTACCTGGCTCCATCAGGGATCAAGCAGGAAAATGGGCAAAAATGGAGGCAGTGGGGGAAAATGGGGCATCTGCTTAACAGATGGCTATGGTGAACCACAAAGCACCAAGATTCTGACCTTTGTTCAGAAACCACCTGTGAACCTCCTGCTTTATTCCAGTTATTACGCACACACTGCTTGAAAACGTCTCTCCCCCTTTCTGAGCGGAATGCTGGAATGAAGCTCCCACTCTTCCCTCTCCTTTCTGCCCTGCCTGGGGCCCATTTAAACAGCAGGCCACTGTTGAGAAGTGTCTGCTGCGGTCATTCTCATACCCCCACAGACGCTGTCCCCACCCACCTGCTGGTGGCTGCCAGGGCCTGTCAATGGGTCTTATGTCCACCCAGCCCCAGTGGTTAGGCTGGCAGACACCGGCAGGCTGAGGGTTCCCTCCCGCCGCCACGGAGCAGCCAAGTGCTATGGACAAAGAGGCTTCGGACAGGAGCCATGGCTGGATTCCTGATGCCTGATCCCTTACAAGGTAGAGCCTGTCCTTTCAGGTTTCAAGGTTGGGGAGTCCTGGGTCTTCCATGACCCCAGGGTGGGGGATAGGTCCCCTATCTTGGTTCTTGAGTTTCACCCTTTCAAGATGACCTTGAGAGCTTTCAGCTCATCCTGGTTGAGGGGGTTCAGGTTAAAGCCCTTCAGCTCCGGTTTGCCTAGAGGGAGAAGACAATCCATCAGCGAGGTGGGCCTTCTGCTGTCCAACCTACTGGCCCTGGAGTCAGGCCCAAGAAAGGGGCTTACACTGCATTCATGCTGCCAAACACTTGGCCTTGAGGTCTGACAGGGAAGGGCCTCAAATTTGCCATGCACTGAACAGACACATGGACGCACACTCCTGAGTTACCAAGACCCTACAGTCCTGCCTCTGCTGCCCAGAAACCTCCAGATTTCTGCCAGACCTGTGACCGACCTAACCTAAACCACTTACTTGCCTGAGGCCTTCTGAGTCCCCTCAATCAGAGCTACCCTGGTCCCCACACCATTCCCTGGCATGTAATGTGAGATACCCCAGGCAATTCTAGGTACCTGGAAAAGAACATGTGACAGGAAGAAAACCTCACAACTTCCTTGTCCATTCTATTAATATCTTGGGACAGTTAGAAACAACCACTGCCCGCTGTCCACAGCTTCAGTGCCACTCCATGCTGCCCAGGCCATCACCCACCTGGGAGGGGCTTTTCACCCCTGCCCTTCCAAGTCCATGTTCATGGTTCTCTCCCCTCCTGGTTCTCAGTCTCCCCCGGGCCAATACCTTGGGCCTCAAAGAGGCGGTAGACCTTCACTTTAAGTTCTTTCCGGAGTTTCTCTATTTCTTTATCCAGATGATCCTGATCTGAAAAAAGAGGTGAGCAAACCCGATGAGGTTATAGGTTATACTACAGACAGACTGTCCCAAAGGGCGTCTGGGATGCCAGCTTTTCTCCAGGCCCCTTGAGCATAAGGGCTCTTAGCGTTCAGGAAGGAAAAGGGAATTTCAGAGACCAACTGAGGAAAAAAACTAAAGGTTAGAGAAGAAACATGACCTGCCCACAACCATTGAGTGAGCCAAGGACCTGACTGAGCACATCAGTCCCCTGACCTGTTTTCGTTATTTAAAGTACCTTGGGCTGGTCAGTGGATAGGGAAGGCAACATCAGGATTTTAGGTTACTCTCATAAGAGTGACATTATGGAAAATCCAAATGTAAGAACAAAATGAAGAACCTAGACCCAGCCTACCCTAGGATGGATGGAAAATGGGTGGCTGAGGAAGTTTACAAACCAAAGTCCATCAAGGTGAGGGGTTTTTAGAAAAGCATGATTGTGGTAACACCGGACCTAAACAACCTAAACAATCAACGGGTGAGCGGAATGCTCAAGCTTAACCTATTTAGCCAGAGTGATTAGAAAACGTTATTTTACCCTAATAGACTGCATCTGAAGGCAAACTGCATTATGAGAAGTAGAGGCTAAAAAGCCCAATGATGGGGCCAGCTGAGTGGCTCAGTTGGTTAAGAGCTTGCTCAAGAGTGCAAGCTCTGAGCAACAGG